TACTTTGGGGGAGGAAGTTTGAGTGAAGCCAAGGGAACCTATAGGTGCTATCAATATTCATGTCTTAGGCTAGGTGGTGGTTACACAGGTATATAGCTAGGGAAGATGTATTAAGTTATCTTGAAATTTGTATACAGTTCAAGGTACATATATTGTACTATTATCTCCTGCCGTGAAACAAATTACCACAAAGCTCAGCATTATAAACAATAAGGATTATTATCTCCTATGGTCACCTTGGGTCTGGAATCTGGTTCTGACTTAGCAGGGTGGTTCTGGCTCAGTGCCTTCCGTGAAGCTGGTGCAGTTAAGACACGGGCCCCGGCTGCAGTCATCTGAAGGGTTGACTGGGGCTGGAAGGTCTCTTCCAGGGTGGCTTGTCACATTTGCCTGGCAGATTAGTGCTAGTTATAGACGAGAAGGCACAGTCTCTTCCTCTGTGTACCCTCATGGGGCTGCATGAGTGTCCTTACAGCACATCACCCGGCTTCCCCCAGAGCAAGAGATTCAAGAGAGAGCAAGCAAGGACAAGAAGGCCATGATGCATTTTATAACTCGGTCTCAGCAGTCACACCCTGTTATTTCCACCATATTCTATTCACTAGAAGCAAGGCACTAAGTCCAGCACACACTCAAGGGAGGGGAATTAAGCTCCACTCCTTAAAGAAAGAGTAGTATCAGAGAATTTGTAGAACTGTTTTAAAACCACCACACATCATATCTTGATTTTTAAAATAATTTTACTCCATATTAAATAAAAAAAATGAGAGGGGAGGGCAGGAAGTGGCATGATAGAAAGTAGTGGGTTTAGGACACATGTTCACTGCCCTTCTGAGGTGACATGGGAGCTGAGCTCTGGACTGGAGGAGTCAGCCACATCAAGATCGGGGGAAGCAGTGAAGGCAGATGGACCCGCAGGTGCTTTACCTCGGCAGTGAGTTGTTGGAGATTCACAAAGAAGCCAGAAAAGCCAGAAGTTAATGAGCAAGGGCAAAGCAGGAGGAATTGAAGTTGGCGTGGAAGGGGAAGCCATGTAGACCACAGAAGGAAGTAAAGATTTTATTCTAGAAGCCATCAGGGAGGTTGTAGCTAGGGACATCTCTCTGATGAATGTTTTGAACAGCATGCTCTGGCTGCTGTAGACTGATGATAAGGTCTCCAAGCAGGAGTGGAAATAAGGGGTCAGTTAAGAAGCCCTCACCAGAGAAGAGGTGATGGCAGCGTGGTGGATGGCAGCTGGCTCTACCTCCAGGGTTGCACATACTCAAATCTCAAGCAGGCTGCTCCCAGGAAGCACACAGCACACACACGCCCATCAAAAGCAGTAGAAAGGTGCACGGTTGTCTTTGCTGAAGGCAGGAAGAGAGGGTTCTTTTCACCCTGAGGAGGATCAATTTTGACCATCAACAGGAGCTTTATGTTGTCCTGCAGGGTCCTCTTTGGGTAAGTCAGCCTTGTCTAGGTTATTTTTTACCCATCTTGTGGGGCCTGTGTGCTGGTCTTTTTAGATAAGATACCCCCTTTCAAACAAAGATGTTTTAATCCTGGAGAAGAACTTGGTGGTTGCTACCAGCATTTGACTTTAGTGTGACAAAATGAAAGTATTGGTTTTTCTCCAGAGGCAGGACCAGCTGAAAGCTGTAAGGAGGGTGCGTGCTGCATGCTGGGCCTGTCCCATTTCAGGGCTGGGGCGGGTCAGGGGTCAGGGGTCAGGGGATGGAAGCTCCTTAGATAAAAGAAGACATTGAGTAGTCAGTCTTCTCAGGCATTCCTCTCTGGATGTACCATTTTATATTTGGTTTGAGTTTTGAACTTTCTAGAGAGAAAGGCAACAGGACAGATGTAGTTTTAATGTTTCATCGGGATCCAAATATTTTCCAGGTTCTGAGGAAGAAAACCCTTTAGAATAGAGTAGTTAGAGGGTTTGTGTGCTGTAGTTTGGACTTGGGTTTCTAAGTGAGTTGTTTTCTGTTCCTTTCTAACAATCCCCAGATTCTTTTACTCTTGCAGGGACAGATCTTGCGTACTCATGTCTTAGAAGCATGCTAAAGCTGCAAAGACTTATTTAGTACCTATTTGATTCCAGACTAGAAACATGTCTGCAGATTTTAAGCCCATAAATGTTGAGCATACTAACTTTGACGTCACATGATAACTCCCTGCATAGGCAGTATTTCCTCATGTTTCTCCAGGTATAGTTGAAGGAATATCAGGCTGGGGATTGGAAGACCTGTGTTCTAGCCTCTGGCACCATTGTTTGTGTGATCTTGGGCAGTGCACTTTACCTCCCAGGGCTTTCAGGGGAAATGTAAGGCTTATGCACAGTGACCTTTGAGTTTCTTTCTTGCTCTGACATTGGGAATGGCTGCTTACCCCATCAGCTACATAGATGAAATGAAACAGGTCAGCCAATTGGGGAGCCAGAGGAAATGGCTGGGCTGGCTCAGAGAAGTCCTTGGGCAAATATCTGAGAGGTGAAAAGAATCACCCATCCCATGAAGAGAAATCATTGTGATGTTTTGGTAACCACTCATGTCCACGATCAGGTGCTTTCCAGCTCATGGTGCCACTTGATCATACAATAGGAACATTAAGAACTTTGAGGACATGTCCTGATTTAGAAATTTCAACTGCCTCAACCCATGTGTATTAGTCTGTTTCTGTTGCTTATAATTAAATACCCGAAACTGGTAATTTATAAAGAAATAAAATGTATTTCTTACAGTTTGGGAGGTTGGGAAGTCCATAATCCAAGGAGTGCATCCAGTGAGGGCCTTCTCCTGTGTGGGAATACTCCACAGCAAGACAGAGAGCTAACCTCCTCACTTGCTCTCCTTTTAAGGCCATGAGAACCATGCCCATTACTCCATGAACAGATCAGTCCATTCACAAGGGCAGTCCTCACAATCTAATCACCTCTCAAAGGCCCCACCTTTCAAATACCATAATGGAATTTCCCACCCTCTTAACACTGTTACAGTGGAGCTTGAGTTTTCAACACATGAACTTTTAGGGGACTCATTTGACACACAGCACCATATAATGTGAGGTTTCTATTTCCGGGCCATATGCTGTGTGCTTTTGTATACCAGGTAGGCCACCAGTAGCCGTGCAGGTTGTGTGCTGGGGACAAATGAGGCTGATATCCAAATCAGTACTGGGCCAGAGGGCTTCTAACCTTAGAGAGGTGTCTGGGTTTGTATATTGGCATGAAAAGAGAATGAGGCAGCTATGGAGCAATGGTTAAGGGCACAGACTCTGGAAACAGATAGCTTCAATTAAATCATGCTACCTAGTAATAGTGTGACCTAGGATAAGCTATATGGTTTTGTTTGCCCATCTGTAAAATGGGGAAATAGTACTGCTTACCTCACGGGTTGATACAAGAAGTAATACCTTAAAGTGCTTAGCATCAGACCTGGCATATAGTAGGTGGTCAGTAAAACATTAGCTACTATTATATGTCAGGGATGAGGAGTGTTAATCCTTAACCCTTCCCTTCGGGTTCTAACCAATAAGACCCTAGAGTCAGACTTTTGTACTGCAAGAGTTCCCACACCCTCACTCTACAGGGCTTCCTGGTACCTTCCTCCATGTTCACACTGGAGTCCTGTGCATAGGAGGAGGGCAGGCTCCTGGCTCATTGTCTTTTTGGAGATTCAGAGAACACCAGAGCAAGGACACATGAGCAACAGTCCTACCCCTGGTTAATGTGGTCCAGAGGATATGAGGCTCTTGCTCATCACATCTGCTGGTCAAATAGGACAGTCTGCCCCATGGACAGTGTCCTTGCTCCAAGCCACCAGCAAAGGCTTACCCTAACAATGGGAAAGATTTGATAGAAGTTCTTGTTTTAGGAGCCCTAGTGGGAATATGGGCAGGGTGGAGTAGGCTTTACTATAAGGTGTTCTCTCATAAGGTGGGGGCTTGGATCTTCCTCAGAGGGGCACTCCTCTCTGCATATGGCCTTGCAACAGGAAGAATGCAGACCTTTCTGATCACATCTGTCCGGCCCGAGGTTGACACTTAGGTGGACATTCATGGGGGCTTACACCCAGTGAAATAGCACCAGCATCTGGAAAAAACTCCCAGCTCCCTCATCCTACTGGATTTTTCACTTCTCTCCATGTGGGATTAACTTCTGTCTGTGCTTCAAGCAGCTCTGAGGCTTTCCCAGAGAGAAAAGTTGAGTATGGAAACCTGGTCAGCAGAGACCCTTTACGTTGTTGGTGCAGAAAAGTGGTTCTGGGTGGGTAAGTGCTCTGGAATGCATGAAGCCCCTTAGCAACAATTAGCATCAGTAGGACAGTGGGAACATGATACAGGTTTGGCTATACACAGAAGCAAGGCATTTTTGAGTTTATTATGCTCTTGAGTGGGGCCTACAGGCACAGTGCAGTAAGCAGGAATCTCCTTGGTTGCAGACACCCCAGAGTGGCCAGCAGGGTTATGTATCAAAGGCACATGGGGTGGGCCATTTCTGAGCCTTAAATTCCTCATCTGTAAAATAAGAATAAAATCCACTTTACTGAGTCGTTTGAAAGACTGAATATAGTGTATATACAACACTTGATATACACTAGGCATTGAGTAAATGGTAGATATTGTCTGTTTAATTTTGATAGTCTGTATGCTCTGTAAAAAAAAATGTAATAGAATCATATTCATCACCTGTCACAGTGTCTGGGACATAAGTAGGTACTCAGTAAATGTTTATTTGAATCAAATGGTGAACTACTTTTAACATAAAGATATTTCTCAGAATTTCTTGTGTCCTATTTATTATTCCTTAAATAACTTCAGTCCCTGTGTTTTGACTTCTGTAGTCTTTTAATGAAAAAGCTGGAGAAGACATTCAACATCTGAAAGGGGGCACAGTGCCCATGTGATACAAGAGCTCCTTGGAAATCTTCACATTATTTCCTGCTTACATTTGATTGATGCTCTCAGGACAGGCTGGCTTAGATGATCCATCAAATATGGCTCTTTTTTTCTTCCAGATTCTTAGAATTTGTACCAGGTATACCCCAGAACAAGACACCATGACCTTTTCAGATGGCCTTACCCTAAATCGAACTCAGATGCACAATGCTGGATTTGGTCCTCTGACTGACCTTGTGTTCACCTTTGCCAACCAGCTCCTGCCTTTGGAAATGGATGACACAGAAACAGGCCTTCTCAGTGCCATCTGCTTAATCTGTGGAGGTATACCAATTACCTAGAAAACCCTTTCGAGATTCCATGAAGAACAACTCGTAATTTATGGGAAATTCCTTATCTACATTTTGGAGTTATTTTGCATGGGAAAAGACATGTAAATAAAGCCAGACATACATGGCTTTATTTTATTGTATGAGGGTACTTCAAAAAGTTCATGGAAAAATTCATAGCATCTTCTATTTTTCCACAAACTTCTTGAAGTACATTCATATATTTACATATTGTTATAAATTAATAATAATTATATTATTGGGATCCTTCTTTGAAATAAATGCAAAAATGCTATTTCTCTGTCACAAGTATTTTTTTTAAGGCAGAATCAGACTATATTGTCAAATAAATTGCCTAGGGACATTTTAATGATGACCCAAGGGACTTATATGTGCTGCTTGTTAACAGCTGGGAATACAAGTTATCCCAACCCTTGGAGAAATTGGATAAATATGGCTTTCTTCTTTGTAGTGACCCCTAGTGGCTCACAGGAGGCTGACTCGTAAGTGGCTAAAAAGTAATGGTTTTAATTAAGGGGCACATTTAACTTGGTTTTATAACCATCCTGTCCAAGGTTTGTTTCAATTCAGTTCAGTAGTGACACCTTCTGGTCATGAGAGGTAATTCTTGCCCTGGGACAAAAGCAACCCGCCATCAAAATGAGCTTTAGACAAGTATCGTTGCTTAAAGCAATTGCACATACCTTGAAATTTGTACATGTGATTGAATTATCAAATTAATGAAGCCATAATATAGTAGGAACAAGGAAACAAAGAAGAGTGGAAATAGGCAGAAATCCTCTAGCCTGGGAAGTGCATAACCCTTTCTGTCCTGATGATACTAATTGTTTAATACTTTATTCCTGGTATCTAGACCGCCAGGACCTTGAGGAACCAACAAAAGTAGATAAGCTACAAGAACCATTGCTGGAAGCACTAAAAATTTATATCAGAAAAAGACGACCCAGCAAGCCTCACATGTTTCCAAAGATCTTAATGAAAATCACAGATCTCCGTAGCATCAGTGCTAAAGGTATGTCATTAGGCTTTGAGCTGTAGTCATGAAATGGACCCTTACTCGGTTATGTTTTTTTTATTTGTTTGTTTTTACCCCATGTTTTAATTCAGGATGCATAACAGCTTTTTTTTTTTTTTTTTTTTTTTTTTTTGGAACTCACTTTTCATTGAAATCAAAAGGAATTAAATTAAATAGTACTACTCCTTTGAAAAAGTAGGAAAGAAAAATCTTAAATCTTACCCTACTCAATGATCTTAATAGATGATTAAGAGCTTTAAAATTCAGATGACTGATTAGAAAAACATTGTTTTCGAGAAAATGTACTATATGACAGGCTTTTTAATTTTCTAGTTTTATACATTTCATTCCAGCTTTTCACACATCTCTGGTTTATGTAAACTTAACTCATTTTTCCTGAACATCCAAACCTCAAGAAAAATGAATAATACGGTAATTGTTATTGGTTAAGTTTCTCTCTCAATCATTGTAGCCATTGCTCTCTTGTGTACAGGCAGATTTACATCTGCACACTTCTCAGCAAAGGAATGCTTCCCTTCCTGAGAGGTATAAATATTCTTTGCCTGGTGATTTTCAGTTCATGTGGCAACTCAAGCAATTACAGAAGTGCCTAGAGCCATATCACAGTTGAGTGTTAGAGTGGGGTTTTTCTATGTAGAGAGACAACTCAGCAGCTATCCCTGGTACCAAATGTGCTATTATTTATTATTCTCCTTTCCCATTATCGTACTCTGTCCCTGAAGACCTTGGTGAACCAAAGAACAAACTCTACATTTCAGAAATTGCTTAAAAGCATAGTGAACTTGTTTGACAAGGAGTCTCAGTTCTCAAGCCCCTTCTAAGAGGTTTTTTCAGACATTCTAAATTCATCCCTAGCATGGGATTAAGAGTAGAAGCAAACAGCAGATACCAGTGCTTGAGCAATGTAATTATGAATATGATATCTTTGATTTTTAAAAGGTGAGGCTGTTTAACTTAATACTGTCAATACTATAGGTAGCTAGACCAGTGATATCTAATAGAATGTACCATGAGTATGGAAATATCCTATAATCTGTACTGTCTAATACAGTAGCCACTAGCCACATGAGGTTCTCAAGCGCTTAAAATGTGGCTAATACAATTGAGGTACTGTTTTTTTAATTGTATTTAACTAGCCACATGTGGCTGGTGGCTACTGTATTGGACACTGCAGTGCTAGGTCAAGTTGTTGATCATCACTGCACATTTATTACTCAAGTCACTTTCTCCAATTTTGGGTAACTGGTATTCTTTCAACTGGCTCATTTTCAAGATATACTCTTTCTGGTCTTTTATTAGGAATCTCTCTTTGTAAATTATGTTGTCTCCTGAAGACAACTGAGGCATGGAACTATCAAATTTAAATATGTCACCACATCTTTGCTGCTTTTCCATAAAGTAAAAATGTTTTAATGTTGTAAAATTAGAATAGCCTCTGTGAGGAATTGTTTGCACAATTTTCTGCTATCAAGAGGAGCACTGGTATCAGTTGTTGCTTCCATAAAAGATGAATGAAGTTCTATCAAATAATAAAAAAGACCCTCTATTTAATATACTGTGCCCCAGAACTGGTTAAGAACCTGATCTGATTCTGACTTCACAGTACACTAACATGATTTTTGATGGATGCAATTCCCATTCTAAATACATTTATGTTTATATTTATGAGAGCTACAGTAACAAGTGGACTCTTCAACAAAGATAAAAGCCATTTGATATCTACATTTTATAACTCATTCATAAGCAAGAGTAAGTCTGAGGAAACATCCTTGTTATAACAGAGGAAAGTTGGTCCCTGGTTATCCAACTTAATTCCTTACCTTAACCAGATTTCTATTATCTCTTTTTAAAAGGTGCAGAACGTGTAATTACCTTGAAAATGGAAATTCCTGGATCAATGCCACCTCTCATTCAGGAAATGCTGGAGAATTCCGAAGGACATGAACCCTTGACCCCAAGTTCAAGTGGGAACACAGCAGAGCACAGTCCCAGCATCTCACCCAGCTCAGTGGAAAACAGTGGGGTCAGTCAGTCACCACTGGTGCAATAAGACATTTTCTAGCTACTTCAGACATTCCTCAGTACCTTCAGTTCCGGGATTTAAAATGCAAGAAAAAACATTTTTACTGCTGCTTAGTTTTTGGACTGAAAATACGTTAAAATTCAAGGAGGACCAAGACATTTTCATATGTATCTATCTATCTATATATATATAGATATATATAGATATATATACTCTTCACTGTGTAACTTACCTAGAAATACAAACTTTTCAAATTCTAAAAATCAGCCATTTCATGCAACCAGAAACTAGTTAAAAGCTTCTGTTTTCCTATTTGAACATTCAAGATTGCATGGCAAAGACCGAGTCAAAATGATTTACCCCAGTTAAGTTTCTGAAGACTTTGTACATACAGAAGTATGGCTCCGTTCTTTCTATACTGTATGTTTGGTGCTTTCCTTTTGTCTTGCATACTCAAAATAACCAAGACACCAAGGTTATGAAAGACTACTGTACATGTCCACCTAAGAAAGGTTCAAAAAAATAATTGCTGGGCCAGCCCCGTGGCTCACTCAGGAGAGTGTGGCACTGGGAGCACCAAGGCCGCAGGTTCGGATCCTAAATAGGGATGGCCGGTGCGCTCACTGGCTGAGCGTGGTGCGGGCCACATCGTGCCGAGGGTTGTGATCCCCTTACCAGTCAGAAAAAAAAAAAAAAAATTGCTTTCATGGAATAATCAAGACATCAATCTAATGAAACAGGACTATCGTACAGTATGACAAGACTAAAGATATTCTAATTTAGTTAGTATGGAAGCTTGTCCTTGCTCTTTTTGATGCTCTCAAACTGCCTCTTTTATTTCATGTTGCCCAGTAAAAGTATACAAATTCACTACACTAGCAGAAGAGAATTCTGTATCAATGTAACTGCCAGTTCAGTTAATCAGAAGTCATTATTTGTTCAATTGTTAATGTCACTTTAAATTAAAAGAAGTGGTTTATTACTTGTTTAATGACATAACTACACAGAAAAAAACAAAAAACAAAAAAGATACTACATTTTTACAAAAATTATAGCCTCCAAGGCAGAAACACTTCTCAGTGTTAATAAGTTTTTGTTTACCTGTTCACAAGCCATTAGGGAAATTTCATGGGATAAGTAGCAGGCTGGTCTACCACTTAGACCATGTAACTAACTATAGTGTTCTTCCTGATTCATGCCTGATATTGGGATTTTTTTCCAGCCTTCTTGATGCCAAGGGGCTAACATCAACTCCCAAAGGCAAGGGCATAGAATCTGCCTCCTTTGACCTTGTTCAATCAATCACTATGAAGCAGAGTGAAAGCTGTGGTAGAGTGGTTAACAGATACAAGTGTCAGTTTCTTAGTTCTCATTTAAGCACTAGTGGGATTTTTTTTTTTTTTTTTTTTTTTTTTATATATTAGCAAGTCTGTGATGTACTTTCACTGGCTCTGTTTGTACATTGAGATTGTTTAACAATGCTTTCTATGTTCATATACTGTTTACCTTTTTTCCATGGAGTCTCCTGGCAAAGAATAAAATATATTTATTTTAAAGGTGTGTGGGAACTTTTACTCCACTTTCATCTTTAATAAAGAGACAGAGAACACGGTTCCATTTTTAATGTTTAAATTTCATTTCAAAAAGCAGGTCTTTAGTCTGCAACCATGACAATTAATTAAAATCTGTGCTAATGCACGGCAGTCTATTACAATTCTACAAGCCAGTCAGACAGTACATGACATTTCAATGAGTAAAAAAGAGCATAAAACTGTATGTGTAAGAACAAAATGTTAAAAGGCCTACCACAATAATAAAAAACCATCAATTACATCATCACATTAAAATAAGCCAGATGTACAAAAGTCTGAGACAGAGACGACAAAGAGACAACACAGGTATTTGTTGAAAAATGTTTCTGTGCTCTTTGGGCACTTAATTAAACATTGCAAAATCAACATCTTCTTCTTCATCAGACTCTGCAAAATATTTTATTTCTTTCCTAGCCCGCCCGGTCCGTGGCAGAGAAGGTGGTTCAGAAGTGAAGTCTGAGGGGAAGATGTCCACATCTGAATCCTGATCAAAAGAAGTTTTCTTCGGTTTCTAGACATTTTAAAAAAGAGAGAAAAAAAAATAGATTTAAAAGCCCAAAGTTTAAAAAAGGAAAAAAAAAAAACACTAATGTTAAGAACTTAGAATTATTCCCTACACTTTCATTTACAAGGTACTATAAATAATGGTACTTTTAAAATAAGAATTATAATGCTAACTTAAGTGTAAGACTAGTTACCTAATCATTTTTTGGAAGTAAAAATATTAGATACAATAATTTGCCACCTTGGGGGTCTTGTATTTACCAAGTTATAGCCTCAAAAATGCAACATCATTATTATTTCTGAAATTATATATTACCCAACAAGTATGCACAATGCCGATATTAGTAAAAGTTCAAGTTCTCCTATTTGTAAGTACATATCAAGAATTCAGGCAGGAAAACAAGACTCATGCACAGTGTATAGTACATACTATATGTATTTATAAAAATGCAGAGACGAGTTACCAGGGTAGACCAGAGGCATGGAAGATGACTAGATGGAAGAGGTCAGTTTGGAAAGCAGCATAAAGCTGTAATAATCTATGCTTAGTATTTTTAAGTTTCAATAGGAAAAGAAAAAAAGGGGGGGGGGCAGCTGATGTCATTGATTTACCTAAAGAGAAAGAGTATATTTCTAGAGAAGGATCAGACTAACTAGGAAAAATAGCCATAGTCAAATATTAAAACAAAAACAAAAACTAGCCCTGGCCAAATTAATCCTAGTTTAAAAGAAACAGTCTTCAATATGAAAAATAACACAGTAGTTCCCCCTTATCTGCAGTTTTGCTTTCTGTGGTTTTAGTTATCTGTATTCAACCATGGTCTGAAAATATTATAGTATTTTGAGAGAGAGAGTGTGCCCGTATTCACGTAACTTTCATTATACTGAACTTAGGCGTAACTTTCAGTTTACTGTTATAATAGTTCTATTTTATTAGCAGTTATTGTTAATCTCTTACTGTAACTAACTTATAAATTAAACTTTATCATAGGTGTGCATGTATAGGAAAAAACATAGTATCTATATAGGGTTTGGTACTATCTGCAGTTTCAGGCATCCACTGGGGGTCTTGGACCATATCCTCCAAGGATAAGGGGCAACTATTGTATTTTTGACTCAAGACTATCTCTAATATCTTTAGACTATTTCTTTAGTCTAATATTCATAGCATATAACTACTACAGCTCAGTGGATCAAATGAAAGACTATGTAGGTTAATTCTTAGTACACTGTTATCCAAGAAATAGTCCTAATTATATAAATTTATACTTGGATAATTCTTTGACCATATATAAGGCCCTATTGATAACAGATGCTAGGTTTAAAGCTATTACAAGACACTGTAGTAATAAGCAAACTAAGTTATAGATCACCTTCAAAAAACCATGCACTAAAAAGATACTCCTGATTACCTTGCTTGCTGTTTTGGATGTTTTCCTGCCAGGGTTATAATCACCTTCATTTTCAGAGCCAGATGCTTTCCTTTTCTTTGCCCCTCGGCCTTTACCTTAAAATGATACAAAAGATTTTTTTCTCCCAAGGGTAAGTACAATATAAAAAGATAAATGCCAAAACATTATAGTTTACATCTTTGGCATGCCCAATCAACGGGGCACTGCAATCTTTGGCAGCATGATTTCAATTCTGGAGTTGACATGACTAAAGAGGATTTCACAAATACATTTAAACTAGTGGGAAAGTTCCAGAGACAAATAAATTTTAATAACCAAGACCCTGATACAGAAAACATTTGCATTTTGTATACATGGTCCTTGGGCCTGAAATTACATGTGATGAAAAAATATTTTTTTTAATTTCCAATTTGTCATGGGCCAGTAGTACTTTTAAAAGTACAATAAAACACAAATTACTAAAAAAGTAATTACATGCTTTTTTATTAACACCAAATTATTACAATGTTAAGTTTAAAATGCTTATTCTCAATTTTACTTATCACAGACTAGTAACAACCATCTTCAGATCCCACTTTGAATATCATACTCTTAGAATAAAACACCCAGGATTAATCATGAAGTAATTTTTCAAATCCATATTCCTTCTCAGACCTAGACTCACCACATGCAGCAGTTTTTTCACCTACCAAACCTCTTATTCTCATCATTGGAAGAGAAAGAGAAAAAGGTAAGATTTAACTGGTAGCCAAATGTTCTCCACCCCACAATGATGCCAATGAAAGAGAAAATAGAAATTGCAATTCTAACTCTTAAATATTCCTTGAGAGCTATGATCTACTAGATTGTACTAGTGAGAAAAGAAATCCTAAATGATCTCAGGATCTGTCACATTTGATCAAATGACTCCATGGAATAGCACTTTTGAATTTATAAAGGTTTCAAACCATGCATACCTTAAGTACTGATCTCCCCAGTCACTACGATTCTTTCCCACCCTCCTATTCTCCCTGTTTCCCTGTAGGTCTGTAGATCCTTATCCCAACCACCCCCCCCCTTTTTTTTTAAATTATTTTTATTTTGTCAATATACAATGTAGTTGATTATTATGTCCCATCACCGAAACCTCCCTCCCTCCTCCCTCTCCCCCCTCCCACCTCCAACCACCCCTTTTAAGAAGTAAAATAAACACACTGATCACAGTATTCTTCAGCTGAATAAAAAGCTGAGCAGTTATACTCAGAGCATATCATGTCTTACATGTATATTTTTCAAAGTATTTTTAAGGGCTTTCCAAATTCTGGAACCAAAGAGGAGGTGCCAGGGAGACCAATTGGTACTGGTTTCTTTGCATGGTCCTGACTACAGCTATTTCATTTCTCAGATGATCTCGTATAACTTCGTATAATGTATGCTAGTTGATTATTATGTCCCATCACCGAAACCTCCCTCCCTCCTCCCTCTCCCCCCTCCCACCTCCAACCACCCCTTTTAAGAAGTAAAATAAACACACTGATCACAGTATTCTTCAGCTGAATAAAAAGCTGAGCAGTTATACTCAGAGCATATCATGTCTTACATGTATATTTTTCAAAGTATTTTTAAGGGCTTTCCAAATTCTGGAACCAAAGAGGAGGTGCCAGGGAGACCAATTGGTACTGGTTTCTTTGCATGGTCCTGACTACAGCTATTTCATTTCTCAGATGATCAAAAAGTTCTCATCTAAAAGTCCTAGATCTAGCCCACTCCACTGAATATTATGCTTTAGTTAGTGTGGAGTCCTAATCTGCCCTTTTAACAACAACTTCCAGTAAGTGGGCTACCGGGAGTCCTTGAACCATTCTTAGGTATTCTTACTTAACTTTGTTGAGTCTCCATTTTTTGATTTGTGAAACAAAGTGACTGGACTAAATTGCTATACTTCCTTTGGACTCTAACTCTGCACTGATTCTTAGACATACTGCTTATTGAGGACTAAAGCAATTTAAAACAAAATAGGCACCGAGCCTTTCTAAATTCAATAAAGTAGAAGAAACAAAATCTTTTCCACATGGCATATGTTAAAGAGTTATACAAAGATA